TTGGCCGAGCATGAAGATGTCGAGGAATACAAGTTGTCGTGCAAGCAATGTCAGCTCTTGAAAACCGACTACCGAGGATCACAACAACTAGTGATGTCGATTCCGGTATCGGAAATTGGTGAACTATGGTCAATCGACGTGATGAGATCGTTTCCATTGACCAGGCGGGGCAACCAATACATCTTATTGATGACGGAACACTTCGAGCGCTGGATTGAAGCAAGGGGAATCGCGGATCAACGGGTGACCACCATTACCCATGCCGTTATGAAGCATTTGATAGCGGATCACGGGATCCCATATTAACGGATCAGGGTCCATGCTTCGAGAGTGAGAAATTCCGGAACTGCTTGGAAAAACTTGGTATCGAGGAAGTGCGGACAACCCTATACGACGCGCAAACAAATGGCTTGATGGAACGTAACAATAGAACGATTAACTAGTGGATAGCGGCAGAAGGTGGAAGCAATCAAACAGGCCTCCACAAAGAAATCACCATTCCAATTAATGTACGATTGGGCACCTCGCTTACCGGTGGATCTAGAGGTTGTAATGTGGCCAACTTGCCGAATAGCACCCAAAGAGGCACAAGAAGGCAGCCAACCATAACCTGAAAGCAACTCAGACGCAGAGGGAGAAGTCCAAGTCCAAGTGCCGAGTTTCAGATCGGTTTGAAAGTGAAATACAGGGACCATCAACGCGCTCCCAATTGTGACCCAGAGGAGAGGAAACTTCTACCGAAGTGGAAGGGATCGTAGAGGGTGGTCGACCTGCGAGGCCCAGTGTATACAATTGCTCCGCGAGTACATGCCAGTGAGTTCAGGAAATGGCACGTTAGAGGAGGAACCCCTTTCTCACAGTGAGCATCCATGACGGTCAGAGAGAGAAGGCAGCTGAAGCGAGCACTTTGGAGGGGAGGGGCGTGGTGGACTAAAGGCAGACGCTACTGCGCCATTAACCGGTAGCGTGGTGCAAGGAAGTGAAACAGCAAGAAGTGAAACAAGCAAGCAACTCCTCTAAAGGAAAGGAACACTTTGGAACCGCAGCTGTGTGCGCACGAGGAATGGGTGCATAACCAATGCACACCACACAACTAGTAGACACATAAAGAAGCTCGCGCTATGCAATCTCCAACCAGGATGACGAAGATGGGTGAAGGTATCGTTTGTCGGAACGGATACACTTATTGTTAGTTATTTTGCACAGTAAACAAGTCCACCTGCACCTCGGGTTCTTACAACCTGACTTACATAATGGGCATAATTTAGATCATATGATCAATCGATTGCCGTTGTGCTCCAGATTGAGTGTAAACTATATAACGTGCATTTCGGTAACAAGGTGACGAGGAAGAAATCGATTGCTGCTGGCTTTAAATAAATAAACTTTTATTCTTGGCTGAGGCACGCCGGCACAGGCATGCTCATAGTAAAAGTGCAACAGGTGATCAAGGAAGGTACAATAAGATTGTCATGGATGTTGATATGAATGTATTTATGTGTGCCCCATGCTGACGCTGATGTCGCATTCATGATGCTTCTTCACCGCAGTTGGGCTAAACCAACTTACACTTAAACTAGGTCTTTTTAATGTGGATAAAATTCATTACATTTTATTTTATTTTTGTTCTGCCTACTTGATAATCTTCTCCCAACTTACACACGTCGCTCATGCAAATTGTGGTAAACTTGCGTAATTTTATCGTGTAGTATTTTTTAAGTGACTTTCGGACATTTTGTACTCATCGCGTATTCACATTTAACTAATTTCTTCCATATGCTCATTTAGCGAGTATTTATGTCGTCATGTGCGTTTACTTTATTCGATATCGGCATTTCGAATGATTGGCTATTGTTTGACATCCCAGGTGTGGCTGCGCTTGATGTGCATGTTGACAAGGTGTCTACCTGTCTATTACCCACTACCTCGTCCATACTAAATCCAGGAGACAGTTGGTCGTTGCTGGAGGGGACGGGGTGCACGGTCTTTGTGTCCGTGCTAGGCTCGAAGAGTGGTTCCATGCACTCAGTGGGGAGTGGACTACGGTCCAGCCACCGCCTTGTGTGCGGTTGATTCCCCAAATACAGCGTGCTTGCGTTTGCTGTGAAGGAGTGTGGGCCGGCTCCGTTGATGAAACATGGCTCCCATCCGCATGCCTCCCGATCTTATTCCTTCGGGTTTACACTGGATATGGGGTGTGTGGTTGGAGCTGTGGGTGGTGCAGCGCAAGCCACCCGTGGTCCCTCTGTAGGCGCAGGCGTCCTGTGGCTGGCCACAGTGACAGGCAAATCCGAAACCGGATGCCGCCAACCATGTGTACGTGTAGGCGTGTGTAGCTGTGTTGCTTGGCTTTTCAAAGATTTTGCTGGTGTCTGAGCGTGTCGCCAATGCTAAAGGGATGCTTGACGTCCGTGGATTTGCAATGATTGTACGGATGAGCATTACGTTGCTGGTATACAATGCTTCGCCATTAGGAAGTAAGAGGCAGTGACTTTATTAAGTGGCGAGTCACAACCGCCAAGTCACAGTGTTGTTAAACGGACATAAGTGGCTTTTCATAGGGCGAACGCTTGCCAAGCGAAAAGCCATCACGTTCCAGAACACTGCCGCCAAACTATTTGCTGGAACGGGGTAAACCCGAACAACCCAGCTGGCATCACGGGGAGATTGTTCGGCTAGCCAGCATGCAACCTTGGTTCCTTCACAGAACCGGTGGAGAAAGCTCGATGTTACGCGACGAGTCAACTGCATACATTCGATCAAGTCCAAAAAGCACGGGAAAATTGCAACCAGGAAGAACCAACAGTCAGTAATGATAAGCACACAGAAGTTTGGCAGTGGGCTACTGAGAGTCCGTTACAAGAAATAATGCGCCACCGTCACTTTAACTCCAAACCTGGGGGAACAGAAGAATGAGTTTGCTTAACCTCTAACCCATTAATCAAGCTGGTATGCATGATTCTGAAGGCGTAAGAACCACTACCCAGCACAGCTCAATGGATCATTGAGGTGCGCAAACGATCGCACCATGCTTAGGTGCTCAATGTGATGAGCCGTGAAGTACCAAAAACAAGGGAACGCCGATGGCTTTCTTCGTAACGTCGACAGCTTATTTCTAGACGCAGCGGTTTACCTAGATAGTGCCTAGTTGATATATTATGATTTAAGTATTTCGACGGGAGCGCCGGTTATTACTTCAAGTACAGTTATCTCTTAGAATGTCTATCTGTTTAAGCGGCGCAATCCACTTAGAATTCCATCGCTTGGCATTGCACTACACCACAATTTCGTAGTACCGCAATTGTCACGCTTGCTGATTCATCATCAGTGTGACAATGGACCGTGCAGACAGTTTTCATCTATGCGATTTTTGTGCTTTTTTACTAAGCCGTTTAATCACATCCGTAGTCGACAGAAAAAAATGCTGAAAACACACCCTTAAGGTTTGACTTTCTAATTTGGCTGAGATGATTTCGCTTAAGTCACAAAAGAGGAAAATAGAAGGCCAAAACAGGCATTCATTGGTATTTAAAATGATCGTTAAACTCATCGAAATAAGGTTAACTAAGGAACAACTTGGTTAATCTGAAGTTTGAAAGGCTGTCTATGTGTACGATCCCATCAGGATTTAGATAAGGAAAGTTGAGACGGGTGCGCGCATGAGCTCCGCTGGATTTAGTGGTTCTGGGTTGAGTCGGATGCGGAGGTAAGCAGGTGGCATGATGAAGTGAGGAGACATGATCATAAATTGGTCCGACGGTCTACAAGCTCCCTGTCACTTGTGAAACCTAGCATGCTATGTACAGACGTCACTGAAAGAGAGCATAAAAGTAACAGAAAGGTTGGATGCAGGAGAAATCACTACATGAGAGGTTCCCGCTCGGCAAGTGTATCAGGATCCAAAAAGGTAAAGTTAACCCAAATCTACATGGCTCAACGGATATTATCAGCTAGCGTCTGGCCGTTTGGATCATGATCGATGTCAGAAACTTGCACCATACGCCCATCACAAGTGATAACCAAACGGGCGTCCAGTTAAAAAATAGGTACCAAAGCCGTCCATGACCAAAGAAGCAGATTCCAGAGAGGAGAAAAGCGGCGATATTACTTATAAAGTAGTGCAGCGCATGCGTTGGATAGGCTTATGCAGTCGACGCTCGCTGCATCTACTGGTAAAAATAAACAGATTCAACATCCTAAGACAATTCAAAAACAAATATAGATTGAAACTAATGACATCCGGAAACAAGACAGTGCCCGTAATGATGCTGACGACGTGCTGTTTGACCTGACAATCGACTGACATGGCAAAGGCGCTTGCAACAGCCGGTGCGAGTTTTGCCCGAAATGGCATCAGAAGCATTCAAACGACCGGATAACGTAGTCGCAACCAAATTAACCATAATTGTTCCCGCGATGACATTGAAGGGTGGAGAGATAATCTGATGAAACGAACACGAAGCACTAATATCAAGCTCCATTAGAAGCGCCTGGTAGGTTAGCTTTAGCATTGCTCTGTACTCACAGTTAGAGTTGGATCTATGGGGCTGCCGTTGCGACAACCGTAAAAGATGTTTTATTGATTTGAACAAGGGGTGAAGGATAAATCACTTGCTAAACGCAGATAATAAATTTGAGCTATCCTATTACATTCAGTGACCTGCAGAAAGTGAGGTATTAGCAGTACGCCGGAACGCAGTATCGACGCTTTGCTGCCACCCAACCACCACCGGTCGTACATGGGATAAGGATAGTGCGAGGGTCGCCCTGCCCCTACGCAGGCTCGAACCCGCGCTATCAGAGCGCAGGACAAGCACGTTACCTTTAGGCTACTGTTTGGCAGTGAACTGCAAGCTCTTTTTCAATAAACGCCATAACCATGTTAAACGCTCGTACTACGATAAGCCGCAATTGATAAATAAGATGATGCGGTCTACGCATTCCGTGGAACACACTGACCTCGACGAATACGCAAATACGTGATCAAAAACAAAACTGACCTCAGAACAGATTCTACAAAAACGCGGATGGCCTTGATGTGCACCATAGCCGAAAAAGCTTCACCGAAGTTGACTTTCAACCACCGGAACAGCGGGGCCTAGGGAGAAAAATATCGACGTAAAAGTAACGGCTGCAGGGAGACTTATATAATGTGACCAACCGTAATAGGCACGTAGCAGCGAATGTGCACAATGAAATGAAAATTTAACGAACAGAGATAGCGTTACGCAGACTCGATCCCATAGGAAAACGCAAGTCAAAATGAGCTAGTATTCCCAGCACTAGGCCAGATTACAAAGCGCAATGGCTAGATAACAGAAATCAAAGAGGAATTCGAAGCGAAACGCCCATTATCTTGTATGAATAGGAGTGGGGGCTGTCAAAGTTAGTGCAGGAGCGCACATGCAGGGTATTTCAGGCAATAAGATGATGATGAGTGACTTATGTGGGCGACACAATCTAATAAAAAGAACAGTTTGTGTAGTCGATACGTCAAACGACATAAAGAAACTTTTGTAACCCTACTGACAATCTACTTTTATTACTAAATGACAAAATTGGTTCAGCTGGCTAATAAACTATAAGCAGTGAACACAAGTGCAGTGAATGCAGTCGGCTTAACACACTTCACAATTGAAAGAGTCGATAAACGGGTGTAAGAGTTAAGAAAAATATGATGGACCAATGGCGGCACCGAAAGATAAAAGAGTGCGTGTAACGCCGCTAATGACTTGGGATTGAACCACCACATGCGATAGTGCAAGGACATCTGAGGTGGCTGATCCAGCTCGGTTATCACATTCGAATTCTGACTGGTTTGCTGAACTACCCCTCGTGGTGCCATCCGAGTCATTCGGATTTACACCGTTTTAACGAAATATTCGGCGGCAGTGTTCCAGGTGGTGGGTTTTCGCCTGGAAAGCGTTCTCCATACAAAAAGCCACAAATGTCTGCTTAACAACATTGCGACGTGGCAGATGTGACTCATTACTAAGTAAGTCACTACCCTTTACTTCACCTAGGTGGGGCATTGTACTCCAGCAATTGTGCTGATATCATAGGTAGGATTGGACTTCTGACTGGTAACCGACCAAATGACTTATGAACTGAGCATTCAGCCACCAGGGCACGATTCCCTGAACTCGCCACGCTGCCTTGCGGGCAGACTATTTAGCCAAAGGCTCGAAGTGGTGCCCCAAAGACAACTCCCTACTTCGGCTTAAACAACTGGGTAGTATTACACCAGATGACAAAACCATGAACCGTTCTGCCATATTGTGCTCAGCTGATTTTGCTTCCGCTACACACGCCACCTGTTCATATGTTACCAATCACTTATCCGTTACAAGCTGATTCCTATTTCCATGATCCTACTCCTAATGGTTTTGTCGACGCCCACAGACTCGCCCCCCCCCCCTTTGGCCTTGGTCCTCGTTCCGTCTGGCATGCTTCAATATATCCACACTCGTGCAGATCGGGTAACTGGCTGGTCTTGCGCGAACCTTGGAGTCCATCACTATCGATATTTGTGGTTTTGATGAAGCCCACTTGTAAACACACTTGCAAGTGCATTGATTGAGTAGGGCTTTCCCACCAATCACGAAGCCATATTTCATCTACGTCTATCTGGTGACACAGAAGCAGTCGCGGAAGGCTTAACTGGCATTGGTGTAGCACTAGGCAACATAGCCAATACCACAGTGCTAGAATGTTTCCCTATTTACAGCAGACTGTGTGCAGTTCGGCTTCGTAGACCATGCAAGATAAAGAGATGTTGTGAGGTGAGACGCAACTTGTTTGTGATCTCAGCTTACGCTCCAAATGACTGCGGTTCCGACTCAGTCAAGGACGATTTCTACCGTGAATTTCACCAGCTCTTGAGCAGAGCCTGCAAATCCGATATCGTTGTCTTTGCTAGGGATCCCAACACACGGGCCGTTCGTCTATTATCTTGTGAGAGTTACCTCGGTGAGCACCATGCGCTCGAGGAGAGCCACTCTGATAATGGAGAGACTACTCACACCGCGAAAATAATCATCTGTTTCTCTCCGGCACCAGCTTTCAGCATTCAAGAAGACGTTCCGCTAGTTGTCGACTTCCTCTGCGTCTCAATCATGATCTCAGATTGATCATATCGCAATCAGTTTCAGATGAAAAAGTAATGTAAAGGGTTGCTGATCTATCTGGTCCAGTTTTCTAGGTTCAGACTATGCTATGGTCTGTGCGAACACCTACATGAGTTTTGGAGAGTCCCAGAAAACGCCGAAGTGCCACTTGGTGTCCTCCTGTAGCTGGCCAACAATGGACCCAAATTGACCACATTGCCAGAACTTACAGGTGGCATGGTTCCATGCCGCATTGCCGCTCGTACTGGAATACCTGTATCGAGTTGGATCATGTCTTGGTACGCTGTCGTTTCTCCATGAACTTTACCGGGAGGCGCAGCAAGCGTCTCTTTCGATTGGCAACTGGGAAATTGTCACAGCCCTCGGTCAGACAATCCTATCAAGACGCACTGCATACCGAAATTTCGCTGTCTTGTTCAAATGACATTGAGCTTCAGTGAAATAGGATCTCGGCCGCTATGCACGACGCAGAAGCAGCTGCTTGTGGCATTATCAATCGTCACCGCACCAGTCAACAGATATCCGAGAGGTCGGTGAACCTGTTGGAATCGAGAAGAAACCTCCCGGCTGGCTCTGTGCACAATGTGAACAGACGGACTATTAGGCGCGAACTAAAGCGGAGCCTACGCGCTGACAAGGAAGCCTGGTGGACAAGTTGGGCTCAAAAAAATGGAGGAAGCAGGGGCAGTAGGCAATTACCGCAAGCTCTTCCTACTGATCCGCACCATTGGTCCCAGGAAACCAGGCATCATTGAGACAATCAGACAGCGCGCGTGCACTGATACACAATAAGGAGAGCCATATGGCTCGTTGGGCGGAACACTTTAAGACAAGTTCAGCTGGCCCCCTGCTCCCGGACTTCTTACTACTCGGATTAGTTTAGAGCCTCCGTCGAAGGCAGAGATCCAAAACGCGATCGCAGCTCTCAATCGTTTTCGCGCCGCTGGCTCGGATTCCCACCTGCACTAGTTAAGGATGGAGGTGAGGTCCTCTGCAATGCACGGACCTCCCTATTCGATCATATCTGGAAGGAAGAGTGTTTCGCTTAACTGGAATGAATTGATTATAGTGGCAATATACAACAGGGGCAGTCGTAGACTGTTCTAACCACAGGGGGTATTAGCCTAACGCCAGTTGTGACAAAATTACTGGCCTCGATTCTCGTCCGTCGCCTTACTGCGGGACGGGAATCTCGGATTAGGGAACAGCAGGCCGGTTTCTGCCCAGCACGTGGCTGCATAGACCATATATTGACTCTGCGGCAGGTGCTAGAGCAGCGCCACCGTAGACCGACAATAGCTGTGTTCTTTGATTTCAAGTGTGTTCGATTCAGTCGATCGATCGATCCTGTTAGATATACTTGCACGGATAGGTGTTCCCACGAAATATGTGAATATCCTACGTGCTCTATACTCGAACACTACAGACCGCGTCAGAGTCTAAGGTGGCCTATCGGATAGCTTTCCGACTACAAGTGGCGTTCGTCAGGGTGGTCCGATTTTCGTCTATTTGTTCAATTACTTCGTGGATTCTATCGTGGAGTGTTCCCTTGCGGAATCACACGAGGCAGACGTTGAAATGCTGCCTGGTGAGAGATTAGTTGATCTTGGTTTTGCGGACGATATCGTTTTGCTTTTCGACGATGTTAGGGGCAATCAACCCTGAATAGTTTGCCTAGAATGGTTCCATTATTTGGTATTTGTTTCACACCTTCAAAGTGTTGCTGCAGGACCACCAGCCATTTGATGACACTTGACCCTTGCTAACGAGGAACTCGAGGTGATTGATCAATTCACTTATCTTGGCAGCTGCACCAGTAACGACTGGCGCATAGAAACTGAAGTCAGTTCACGTATTGCAAAACCCAGAGCTACCTTCTTGAAGCTGCGGCATCTTTGGAGACAGAATGGAGTTTCGCTCCGTCTGAAAGGCCGTATATACAAGGCCACAGTGAGGGCAGTTCTGCTGTATTGTAGTGAGACTTGGCCCCCTCGGTCTGAAGATCTGAGGCGTCTTCAAGTCTTCGATCATCGTTGTTTGCGAAGCATTGCTGATGTCGGATGACACCAGCGTGTCCGAAACGATGATGTGCGTAGGGGAGTACTAGGTGGTGATAATCATGCTGGCTCCCTAGAACAACAGATAGCACTAAATAAGTTGTGTTGGCCTTTGCACATGCTACGTATGCCTGGTCATCGCTTACCCAGGACGGCCTTGTTTAGTCTGCCGGGTGTAGGGTAGCGTAAGGCTCGAGGTGGACAGAAGTTGACTTGGCAGCGGGAAACCAAGTCACCTACGACCAACCCGGGTGCCGTTGGTCCGTGTCGCCTTCCGGGCTGGAGTCCACGTGACTCGCCTTGTGCTTGGCTCGAGACTTTACAGGACATGGCTCGCAACCAACACCAGTGGCGCGTCTGCTGCCGTCTCCTAAGTGTATTGCCTGTTTAAAGTCTGTTTGGTGCTGAGTTGTCTGCGGCGTAGTGGTTAATTATGACGCGGGACATTGAAAGCCGCAAGAAAGCTGTCTCACCGATGCCGTCTTATGTTTGCACGTTAACCAGCTGTTTGTGACGGTATGTTGTCTACACAAGATGCAGGCGCCTTGACCCTGAATGTTGGCTTAGGGCATTAAGGTAAACGACTTTTTGACTTGGAGTATGAGGACGACATTGTCCTCATATGTGACTGCGCTCAAACGTGCCAAGCTGCACTGGACCGATTAGCACTGGCTGTCAATCGTTTAGGGCTATGCTTTGCTCCATCGAAATGAAAAGTTCTCCAAGATTTGCACGGACCCACCCCTGCGCTGATCCTTGGTGGTGATCAGCTAGAAGTCGTTCGGGAATTCAAGTACCTGGGCTGCTATATTAGCGACCGTGGGATCGAAGACGAGATTATGAACCGTATAGCAAAAGCTCGAGGTGTTTTTGCCAATCTCCACCACCTGTGGCGCAGACGCGACATCACTTTCCCTGAAGGGTAGAGTGTATAATCCAGCCGTCCGTTCAACCCTCTTATACGGTTGTGAAACCAGGCCCATCAGGTCGACAGGTATAAAGAGGCTGGTCACGTTCGATTATCGCTGCCTTCGCAGCTTAGCTCACGTCTGGTGGGAGAATCGCGTGAGCAATGACCGTGTTCCGCGTCGCGCATTTGGTGCAGGAAGAGCCAGTGAACCGTTCGGCACCATTATATCACACACCAGGCTCCTATGGATGATACACGTATTGCGCATGTCAGCACACCGGCTCCCGCGACTTGCATTGTTTGCGCAGTTGGAAGAGGAGGAGGGGAGGCCAAGCGATGACTTAGTCGAGAGGAATGATAACCCCCACCTCGAAGTTGGCGTCGGTTGGTGCATGCCGACTGCCTGGCTGGGGTCCTAAGGACGATGAACACGTTTGGTTGGACAAACTTGCTGATATGCTTAGGAGCCAGCCCCAATGGTGTTTGTGTTGTGCGTTCCTTTGTCCATCCCACTCCCGCTTAGCCTCCCCCTTCAATCCCAAACCCATTCATTAGGCGTAATATAACTTCTTTTGCGGCACGATAGCCGGCTGTTAGCTCTGCGGAACGATGTCCATCCGTTACTGGGGGCTCAGCCGATGTGCCTCGTTTTTCTCTCCTTGTCTTTTGTATTGCGGCACAATATCTGAGGTATTTTACACCTGCAGCTGAGGTGCGTAATAATGATGATTAAAATTTTCAGGTAAGTCCCCGTTCTCTCCCACTTATTATTCCTTATTTTATAGGTCATCACGGTTGTGCGGTAAAGCATCAGTGCAACAAGCTGATGTACTGCTGTGGTTGATTGATTGGTATCAGTGGATTTGAGGGTGCAAAGCACCACCCAGCATGGAAAAACGGATCGCTGAGGAACGCAAACTATCGCACTACGTAGTCTAGTCTCATCGCGATGGGGCCACCCGAAAGCTTGCGCACTGGTTGCTCGGCACGCATTGCTTACCATTTTTGGTTCCGGGATGCGTGGTCTGTGTTACGAATCTTATTCAATTACTTGCCTGCAAAAGAAACACTATCACAATCATGATGCAGAAGCCTACCCTAAAGTGGACGTATCAACCAGTTAGATACAAGTTGTACACAATCCACCTATGGATGGCATGCCGAAGTCAGACGGCCTAACAGTACAGCACATGTTTTAAGTGTGTACATTGCGTTAGCAACCCATGTCGTAGCCATCTAAAATACGAAACACTACATTTAACGTGATGCTGTATTACACATTAAGAAGCGTTCTGTAAACATCGTTAACAAGTTCCTTGTTATGCGCACGGAAAAAGGGAACTCACAAACTGTCTTCTTTTGTCTGACTCTAACTTCGACAGTTCAGACTTGCTTTCCTCGATCTTCTTCTCGTCGTACTCAAAGTCTCTTACCACAAACCTCAAAGAGCTGTAAGGTAGTGTTTTTAATACCTTTGTTCACGGCAACGGGCCTTGAAATCTTCAACCATTTTCTTGAACAAAGTTACAGTCCATAGGCCATTTTCTTGGTCTTCGAATATTAGTCTTTAAAAAGCATTAATCAGAAACACCTGACTACTCTGAAGATTTTGGGACAATCATATCGGTTAGGGTCTCGTAACACTTTTGCCAAACGCTGTAGGAACTTCTGCAAAGATAAGATTGTAAACACGATCAGATAACCTTGGTACTACAACAACAAGCGTCGTAATATACTCCGATCCTAGTACGAACTGGTCGCTTTTGACAATGTCGCCCAAGTCCCTCGTTAGAAGACTTCCACTGAAAAGAACGCATTTCTATGGCAGCGGAATTACGTTTGTTTACGCTCAAGTGTTTGCAAGCAACCTTTGACTGTGTTGTACGCGGTGGACTTAGTCTTCAAGTCAGCATCGATTTTGGAGAGTTGCTGTGAGTGTCATTCAGAAAGGAATCCTACCTCAGAGATAATGGCGTACAAAGAACTCAGTGTATGCTTTATGGGATATTTAGCGTAATCCCACTGAAACTTCGTTAAAAATGCGCCAGGGCTGGCTAAATCGATGTAGTGGCATTGAGCAAAACTCACCTCCATTTATAGCGAGATTGTCCTCCAGTTTGTGCTTCTGCTCTTCCAAGACGTCGCCCATATATTGGGCTACCTTTTTGGTGATGCTAGATCGTTGGCAGAATAAGAAAAGGTGATTACGCTTCGGCATAGAGATCAAGTTTAGCCAACTCATCAGAAAGCCCCACTAAAATATCCAAAGTGCCAACCTAAAAATACAATAACCAATTGCGACAAGGAAACCTTCAGATCTGGGGGAATATTGAACTTCCATTGCAACGACAGGCCATTGTACTTTGAAAGAGTAGCATGTAACCGCTGGAAAACTTGGTCCGGATTTCTCTCTCCCGGCAGTGATATGATCCAAAACTCGGACATAGTCAACAAACAAGAGCACGCTATCCGCAGTAACCATGAGCTGTTCGGGTCATGCGAGATACGCATCTAAGTTCAAGTACTGTTGAGACCGGGAAAATAGAAAAGGCACGTAAATTTTCATTCCTGGCGTCTCATTATACCAAAGACCAATATATCTGTTTGACATTTTGATAAGCAGATCAACAACCACATGCCACCCTGCCCAACCAGTAAATGACAGGTGGACAATTCTCCTACCTTCTTTGAGGACCAAATTAAACAGAAACTGATGAACAAAATGTTAAACTTGCGTTAAAATGCTCTGGCTATCTACAAAAGCTTACTAAGTTCAGGAAACGCGGTTGTTTTTGCAATCGTTGCTTTGACAGTACTTTAACAAACGAATTTTCAGTCAGCTTAGCAAGGACATGGATATCCCAAATGTAGCTTGGTGGTCTCTGTGCCGGATTGTTGGCCTGTAACCAGGGTTCGAATCTTGGGTGCACCGCCTTTTATACATTCTGCGGCGATACATATACTTGCCATGGATAATCACCCTGATTTGATGGCTTTCTCTGAGACCTGGCTGTCCCCGAACATCCGTGACTCGGAAGTATATATCCCTGGATATCACTTCTCCCGGGCTGATCGCCACGGAGTGAGGTCAGGCGGTGGCGTTATGCTCTCTATTGGAGGACAAACCTCAAGGCACATTTGCTTGATGCTATTTGTGCTATAGATGGTAGCTTCGAAGCTCTGTGGTGTCGTATTCATGACGGGTGTAGATCTCTCCTGGTCTGTGTCGCCTATAGATCTCACTTGGGTTTCCGGAGCTCTTTTGCTGGATTCAATTAAATCGCACGCCAAACGTAAGGACTGCTTAATTTTTGGGGACTTCAATGCACCTGTCACTGACTAGGACCTGCTTTATTGTGGTCTTCCTTCTGACTCTTTTGATGTCCTTCTCCTTCAGACCGTTCTCGATTGTAACTTGTCTCAGCATGTATTTCCACCCACTCGGTTGTTCTCAGGCCAAACGCCGCACATTCATAATCTATTGTTATCCCAGATGCCGTCAGATGTCACGGACCTGGTTATTATGCAACCTATTGGTAAGAGTGATCACTGTGCTATTTCCTTCCAATGGGCACGTCGGTTTTCTGTTCAGGACCAAGGGGATTTCCGGCGTAATTTCTGACGAGCAGATCCACAGCGTCTGCAGGAGGCTGCTTCTAACATGGACTAGACCATTCCTAATTTTTTGTATGTTGACGATGCTTGGACTCACTTTTACTCCAACATGATGTCGCTAATCAACCAGTTTGTTCCCATTTCTAAAAGTAGAGGTCTAACAAGGGGTCCTCCTTGGATTGACAAGCAGTTGAGGTCTCTGATGAATAAAGGACGCAAATTATGGGATCGATTCAAGTGTACACAATCGACGGCCGACTACTTACAATACAAAACGCTTAGGAACCTTCGTATCCTGAAGAAACGGGAGAATCGCCGAAACTACGAATTTCAATTGGCTGTGCAGTCCAGGTGCTCCCCCAAAATGTTCTTCTCATATCTGAAAAGGGGTACCAAAGGTGGTAATGGCATTCCATCTCTGTATTCCAGTAAACACGCTGCCTTACTTCAGGAGGATGCTGCGAAATCGGATCTCTTAGCTCAACAGTATTCATCCGCTTTTACAAATGAAACACCGTTTTCTGACGTAGTACTCCCATGCTCATCTTTGCTGGATCAGCTCGAGATCAGTACGAAAACTGTTACTCAATTCCCACTTCAGTTAGATCCGACCACCTGGCCTGGTCCTGATGGCCTGCACCCACTGTTTCTCAAGACCGTGGCTAAGTACATTGCAGCCCCAGCTTGTCATGTGTTTCGCTGCCCTATTGAATCCGGACGCCTTCCATCAGCCTGGAAGTTGGGCATTGTCCAGCCCATATTTAAAGGAGGGAACCGCCTAGACCCAGCAAACTAGCGTCCCGTCTGCCTAACATTAGTAATGTGTAAAATTATGGAACGGATTCTCAAGGGAGCTCTCAGCCTTTACTTCAACGACCGGAGTGTGCTTTCTACTGCTCAGCATGGCTTACGTAATTCACGCTCGTGTGCCACCAATTTGTTAGTTTCCAGAGGGAAATGGGCTAACTCACTGGATGCGGGCAAACGTATGGATTTTATGTACGTAGATTTCAGCAAAGCGTTTGACAAAGTTCCTCACGAGCGGCTTGTGTTCAAACTTCAAGCAATTGGTGTCTCTGGGAGGGTTTTGTCATGGATCTCGGATTTCCTTTCAGACCGAGTTATGCGAGTTAAGGTCAACGATACCTACTCACCGTCCGTCATTATGAGCAGTGGCGTTCTTCAGAGCTCTGTTCTTGGACCAGAGTTGTTCAAATTCTTCATTAACGACCTTCCTTCAACCCTCCGGACCGAATGCTTGATCTATGCTGACGATTTGAAGTTATGGATGGAGGTAACCAGCGCTGAGGATGCTGACCGCCTCCAAAATACACTGGGTCGGCTGCACGATTGGCCACTTAATTGACAGTTGTCTATACATCGCGGTAAATGTTCTGTACTCCCCATTGGTGCTACTGAACCATTCTGTGTTTACCACCTTTGTGGTTATTTGCTTAACAATGTGAACCAGGAAAGTGACCTTGGTGTTATTGTATGCTGTGATCTAAAAACCACTCAAGATACTTTGAGGACGGGTGCTGAGGCTAACAGACAACTGTGTTCTATCCGAAGAGCCTTCCCACTATTGACGCCGGAGACCTTCAGATTTTATTTTCCTCCCATCTGCGTCCAATCCTCGAATATGGATTACCCGCAGTTCATCCGCTTAAAAAGCTTGAACACGGCTTGATTGAAAAAGTTCAGCGACGCGGTTCTAAGTACATCTTTGAGTTCCGACACCTTCCGTATCTCATTTGTCGCCAGCATTTGAATATGTTCTCCCTGGAATGTCGGCGTCGCCGAGGCGACCTGACCTACGCTCGGCGCATTCTGCGAGGCGAGATGGAAAACGAGCTCCAAGGTTTCTTCCAGGTTAACGCTGAGTGTTCGACTCGGGGCCACTGCTGGAAACTGTTTAAACCTAGGAGACTCAGGCTTCGCACGGCTTTTATATTATCGACTCTTGTGGTGAACGACTGGAACTGCTTGCCTAATTCCGTCGTCAACGTGCATACGGAGGAATGTTTTAAACGATTGTTGTATTTATACCTCTTGAATTTGCAGGGATCTTGTTGTTTCTTATGTAACTGACAAGCTAACTTGTTAATTGCTGTTGCGCCAACACCTGCTATGATTGGGAGGTGATGGAGCTGACAGAGGTCTTTCCTTCTGCTCTCTACAATACGATGATTACAATGATTAAAAGTGAATCAATTCACATAAATTGAGTGACCACTGTAAGAACTTTAGAACCTTGTAGTTAATTGGAATAAAAGCTCGAGCTTTACATGGCCCGTAGGGTAAAGTAGTTCGGGTCGGGTCTGATGAAAGGTCCAGCAACCCTCCATTGGGTTGGACTAGGATGTCAGCCATAGCTTAATCAGGCTTATGCAGCAGTTAGGCAGCATGCACGCCGGCGCAAGGTGTGCATCCCACCACGCCCTCCGAAACGCTTATGTAAAGAAACTATGTAGAAAAGAAAATAGTGAGGAACTCCATCAAGTAGAAGGTGGTTATCACAGGAATATAGCGACGGAGCTCGGCCAGATGGCAGTCTAGGCAGGTCCTAAACTCCGCCACTGTGGGTGCCACGGCTCAATCGCCAAGTAAAGCATTCCACGGTCGGCAAATCTGACCAGCATGCTCTTGAGAGGGTACAGCGACGCTTTACAAAGAAGCTGTGCGGATATTCCTCCAAGATGACATACAGAGAGCGCAGTGAAAAACTTGGACTTGACCCACTTTGGCTACGGATAATGAAGATGAACTTGTGTTTCCTGTACAGAATAATTCACCATCACGTGCACAATTATGCGAACTCTGTCCATATGCCCGTTAACACTAGATACAAGCTACGAAATAAGGAGACAACGGTCATTATTCCGAAGTTCAATAGGCGAATTAGGGAGCGTTTCTTCTTAATACACTGCTCAAAGCTTTGGAACAAACTTCCAAGAGCTATCAGAACTTCTTGCACATTGCGTCTGTTTAACCTTTCGATAAAAGATCATTTAACCGTTCAAAATGTGATAATAATGTTTCGAACAGCACAGTTCTTAGATAACGCTTTTGAGAACGGAGTTAATGGTGCCTCAAAATGCATGTGGTCAAGTGCACAAGTGGTTATATTTTGTTGGCCCCGCAGCACTTCATTCTCTCTTTTTTTCGTGTGCGATCAACTCCCATGTGACTGCTAAAAGTTTGTCAGAAGATGGAACAAGAGGAATGTAAGTATTTTGGACCGCTTCGCCCTACACTAATTTTCATTTTGTGCTCACATTTTTTTAAATTTATTATACCATAATATGAAACTGCTGTACCATTATTTGATCCGTCCCTCCTGGGAACGGCTTCTCGCATCGTCGCGATATATACAATTTATTTATTTATTTAAATCGAAGTAGTGTCGTCTGCAGTTTAGCCGACTGTGCCTGTGCGTGAGCCTCAGTGGTTGGACACGTAGGTTGGGGGACGATTGGTGCAGTGTGAATAGGTGGCAGCTGGGATGTCCATGGTTAGATAATATCATAAATGCAAGGATTTGGTCACTTCGGAGACGTCGGCACTTAAGCGAGTGGAGGCCGAGGCAGTGAAGTCGTTGTGGATAATCTAGGTGCTTGAGACCTCGGACTAGTTTTCTTGTTCCACATTGTGGGGATTCGATTATGAGTTGGTCCCTCAGCGGCCAGGTGCTGCAATCCGGAATGGCAAAACCTAAGTGGGGTCGAAGAAAATCGTTGAAGAAGAAACGGAAATTGCTAGGATTAATTTGACCGAAGGCAACTTACAGCCATACCAACATGCGATTAGCAGTAGTTGCTGCTTGCCTGCAGGAAGCGGGAACGGAAACCTTCATATACGTACTGATACCTAAGTCACTTTCGTCTGACGAATTCTGGAGGATAAACGCTCCAGGAAATATTTGGGAGAAACAGCGGGAGGGCGGGTAGAACGGACGCGCCATTTCGAAGCGTTAATGGAACATCGTTTTCTACGGACCACTGATTTAGACGGCCGAGGTCCGTCGGAATTGCATGGGCATGCTCCGAAATGCTAAGTTG